TAACACGTAACCTGCCCGGATCACACAATTTGTCTAACAAATACAGATTCATGAACAGGTGGCCTGCGATTGTCAAGAACACATAGTTACTGACTACAAGTTTAAACACAACGCGGGTATTATCTATGGAGCACAAGTCTTCAGTATATCACGCGTGTCTTCTCTAGAGCAGAAATCTTCTCTGGTATGAAAACCCGGGTTTGGTCTTCTCTAGAAAACTTGTCTTCTATAGAACAGAGACCTTTTCTGAAATACATGTCTTCTATAGAAGAGCGGCCTTCTCTGAAATACAGTCTTCTACAGAACAGAGGCCTTCGCCGAAATACAGTCTTCTATCATGAGAAAAGAAGCTTTCTCTGAAATACAGGTCTTCTATATTACACTGGTCAATGTTTTCTAGAACAAAATGATTGTCTTCTCCAGAGCACAGGTTTTCACTGAATCACCGAAAACTGGGCCCGTATTCATGGATTCTGTGCTTAAACCAATTTTCTTGTAGCTCGCTTAAATAAAAAAAAAAAAACATATAAAAAAACGTCAGATGTAAACTTAAAAAACGATACTGTAATTGAAGAAAGGTACAATCAATTGAAGATAGGTTCAATTCAATTGTATCTATCTTTAAATAATTAAATATAGATATAATTATTTGTACAATGGAGAAAGATTTGTCTCTTTCTGTGCCATCAACAACCTAGCATTGCATCAACAATGCTCACACATAAAGATATTCATCTACACACATGGACATCGCCAAATGGACTTTACCATAACCAAATAGACCATGTGGCAGTAAATGGGAAGTCCAAGAGATCAATCATAGATCTCAGAACATACAGGGTGCAGGCAGCAATCACAACCGTATCGTGATCAAGACAAAACTGCAACTTGATAAGGCTGCTGGAAAGGTAACAACATCTACCAGATATGAAACATGTGAGCTGAAAACAACCGAGGTGAAACAGCAGTTCAAGATCGAGCTTAGAAACAGACTCATCATTCTGAGTGAGCAGACAAATGATGACACAGATTTAGAAAACAGATGGAATAATTTCAAGACAGCATCCATCGAAACTTTAGCTGTACTTGGGTATCGTAGAAGGAAAAATCACGAATGGATTAGTGAAGAAAGTTGGAAAAGGGTGGAAGAACGAAGATCCCTAACAATAAAATAGATAGCACAAAATCAGAGAGAGAGTCAACGAGAGACTGAGGGAGAAAGACAAAGATGTTAAAAGGAACATGGGGAGAGATTAGCGGCAATGGCTTGATAGACTGGCTACAGAGCCAGAGACAGCAGCAAACCAGGGAAACATGGAGGGTGTGTATGACGTCACAAAGCAATTATGTAATGAAAGACCAAAGAGCATAGGAATGGTAAAGAGCAAGGAAGGGAATATCTTAATGAAGGACAGTGATGTGAAAAAGAAATGGAAGGAAAATTTTCACGAAATATCAAATAGGCCTGATCCAACAGAGCCTGCACATGTTGACACAGATAGTATTTAGGAATAAGATATTGATACAGGTCCACCTACTATAGAAGATACAAAGCTTACTATAAGAGAGATGAGGTCGGGTAAAGCCCAAGGTATTGATAACATCACAACAGAAATTCTAAAAGCAGACATTGTAACAACTGTTAAAGAGATGCACAAGCTGATTGGAGAGATCTTAGAGCAATCATTAATACAACAGGCGGTGCAGATGAAGATATAAGAAGAAGGCTAGGACTAGCAAGATTAGGCTTTCATAAGCTTACAGAAATCTGGGCAAGCAATCAAATCAACAGGAAGACAAAGTTAAAGATTCAAATGTATTATCTGTGCTTTTATATGGAGCAGAAACATGAAAAAAGACCAAAGGAGACGAAAAAATTCTAGACACCTTATTACATAAATGTCTCAGAAAGATACTTAGAATAGTCTGGCCATAAAAAGTTAAAAACAAAAAAAATAAGAGAGCTTGCAGAAACTGACAGAATCAGTGACATCATAAGAAGACGATGGGGTTGGATAGCGCATGTGTTGAGAATGGCGCCCAACTGCCATGCGCGTGTACTTCTACTTCTAAATGGTACTGACCAACTTCAACAATTTTAAGATAAAATATCAGACTAGGAGTGAAACATGGAAAGAGATTGATTTTAAAAGATACGAGATGGTCTAGTGTATCTTCAATTGAATTGAACCTAAGTACAAATAAATGAAACCTAGGTTCAAATAGATAATACAGCATATCCTCAATTGAATTGAACCTATTTTCAATTGAACTGTACCTATCTTCAATTATTTGAAGACATGCGCAATTATTTGAATATATGTTATTTTGGCGGTCCTTAAAACATTTTCTGCTTTAATCCTCTTTCGAATTCTTCCCCGATTTATAAACGGATAAAGAAATTCGATTTGAGCACAAAAGCTGAGTTTGAACATGAGAACGGTTTCATACTGGTCTTTTCTCTAGAACTCGCGACTTCTCTAAGTCATTGGACACGTGCCTTCACTACAACACGTCTTCTCTAGAACATGTGACTTCACTACAACACGTCTTCTCTGGAACACGTTCATTCACTTCAACACGTCTTCTCTATAACACGTGCATTCACTTCAACACGTCTTCTCTAGAACACGTGCCTTCATTACAACACGTCTTCTCTAGAACACGTGCATTCATTACAACACGTCTTCGCTAGAACACGCGCATTCACTACAACACGTCTTCGCTATAACACGTGCCTTCACTACAACACGTCTTCTCTAGAACACGAGCCTTCACTACAACACGTCTTCTCTATAACACGTGCATTCACGTCAACACGTCTTCTCTATAACACGTGCCTTCACTTCAACACGTCTTCTCTAGAACACGTGACTTCACTACAACACGTCTTCTCTGGAACACGTGCCTTCACTACAACACGTCTTCTCTAGAACACGTGCATTCACTACAACACGTCTTCGCTAGAACACGTGCCTTCACTACAACACGTCTTCTCTAGAACATGTGCATTCACTACAATACGTCTTCTCTAGAACACGTGCCTTCTCTTCAACACGTCTTCTCTATAACACGTGCCTTCACTACAACACGTCTTCTCTGGAACACGTGCCTTCATTACAACACGTCTTCTCTATAACACGTGCCTTCACTGTGCCTTCACTACAAGACGTCTGCTCCAGAAAAACGAGAAGGAAAGGTCTCGATGTCGGAATCACAAAATAAATCACATGACATTCTATAGTGGACGTACAAAAAAAGGTGTTTAGTACCGTCGGGAAGATTGGTGGAAAGTACATCTAACTAAATTTTACCTAGAACATGTCGGTTCCCAGTGGATTCAACACTACTTCTCCAGAAATATATGTGTCATATGCAGTATATGGTGTATTCTACCAGACAATAGTTTGCATTTTGTCCGTCCGTCCGTCACTTTGTCATGGCATACCTCAGTCTTAGTGCCCCACTATACGCCTTCATAGTGACCCTATGACCCTTTAATTAGATGGAGACTATATGGACTGTTTACAGATACATTATGTACTTTGCTTTTTACATTTTAATGTAATAGACGGAAGAGCATTAGTACCGATCGCGATTAGAAAAATAACAAGTGTATTTTGTTCGTGTTGTTAACACGAAATTTCGAGTTGGTAACACAGTTTTTTTGCTAAATTGCCCTGATAATGTTCCATCGTAGTAATATATAAAATAAAACAAATTATTAAAATAAAATAGACAGAAACAAGAAAGGTTCGCAAACGAAACTTAAACCGCATAAATATGATATAACCAATATGGACATACTATTGAGTTCAAACCACATGTAAAATATTTGGGTGTAATCTTAGACCAGTTTCTTTCAGGACAACATATTGTGAACAATGCAATACAGAAAATTATTCGGAGACTAAACTTTGTATACCGAACCAGAAAAACGTCTATCTAGGCTGTAATCAAGAAAAACACTCTTCTCGGCACTTATCCAATGTCATTTTGACTATGCTTGTTCGTCTTGGTACGAGGGTATCTCTAAAAATCTTAAACACAAACTTCAAGTTACACAAAACAAGGTTGCTCGTTTTATTTTGAATTTAGATTGGAGGGAAAGAATAACTTTTGCAGAACTGGAAAAATTAAACATGTTGAATGTAAGTAATAGAGTGTCTCAACTGAGATTAACCCATGTTTTTAAAAAAAATCATGAAAAATGTCCAGCTTATATGAAGGAAGGTTTTGAAAGGAACAACAAGAGGTGTACAAGATCAAGCCAATATAACTTTTATATAAATAATATAAGTGGGGTAGAGTCCACATCTTTCTCTTATAATGCAATAAAGGACTGGAATGCATTACCAGAAAATATTAAGGCAACCAAGAACTTACATAGATTCAAATTTCTGGTCAGACAACATTTGACATCAAATTTTAGATCAGAACAAAAAAAGGGTAATGGTGAAACTTCAGTGAACTACTCTATTACTTCTTAATTCATTACCAGCATTATTTTAATGATTATAGCCTATGGCACATGTAACATTTTATATCTATTTTTTATAAAAGAAGTGTCTTAGAGTCTTATCAAATTATCAATATATACTATATAATTATGTAACTATTTTATGAATTGAATTGATTTATTTAGATCTAATATAAGGGACCCCATAGGAATTAAGCCAAATGACGCTTTATGGGTCATCCCAGGTAAAGGCCTAAATCAATCTAATCCAATCCAGTTTTAACACCTGACTGACTTCTAGTCTTATGGCATAAATAACTTATAAAGAAGATCTCATTCTGTGATAATATATATATTTATGTCCAATCTGCAAAATGTGATAGAAGTGTATTATTTGCCTTTTACCTGAATAAATAGTATTATTATTATTATAACCCTCCCTCGATTCATATATAGTTTAATAAAAAAAAAAGGTACTTTATCCACCGGCTTTCCTACTATCTCGGGCTGTAATATTAGGATCACGTTTGACCTCGGTGAACCGGAAGTACACCTTACAGCATGGCGGACAAAAACAAACTGGAGCGAATTGACCACACAAGTCAAAGCGAAACAACCAAACTGGACGAGAAAATGATTAATCCAGATACAAAAGTAGAGTTCAAAATACTATTTAAGTCACCTAAATCCACTCCAGATTCTTTTAAAATGCCAGGATTACCGGCAGTTTCTCCTAAACACGACACCACGAAAACGGGTACGAAAACATCCGGAAAATTAAAAGTTGAATCAACGTCAGTTGATAATAATGATAATGATAATAATGAATGTGACCTTAAGCAAAAAGACGAAGATTCATTTGGTAAACCTTCTACAGAATCAAATGGAGCAGTTTTAGGAGACCAAAATGTTAGTGTAGAAGTAGATATTAAACCCAATATAAATCTGGTAAAGACAAGCAGTCAAGACACGGCAAAGAATTCTACACTTTCTCCTGCAGAACAACTCAAGCAAACACAGGTGGTAATTCCTTATAAAGAGCCTAGTTGGAGTGGCCTGCCTGAAGATAAGTATTCATTTGATGTCCTAAAGAATGGCACAATTGTGTCCACTTTCAACCTAGAGAAGCCATATTATGTGTTTGGTAGACTGCCTAGCTGTGATGTTACTATGGAGCACCCTTCACTGTCAAGGTACCATGCTGTCATACAATATTGTAAGAATCCAATAGAAGGACAGGAGAGGGGATGGTACCTGTACGACCTTGACAGCACCCATGGGACATGGATAAACAAGCACAAGACTTACCCAAATAAATACTACAGAATACGGGTTGGACACATGGTCAAGTTTGGAGGAAGTACCCGCATTCATATTTTACAAGTACGTATATGAATTTCATACCTTACATTTTCGGGGTAACAGGTTGTTTCGCTATATTTCATGTAGAGTATGTGAGAGCGTAGTCAGCTTGTCACAGCTGCCGTTTGTCACATTCGCTTAAAAATAAGACAAACACATTTTTTCTATGAAATTGATTTTAATGATATGGAAGACTAAGAAGACTTAATTTGTGACTTAAAACTACTAAAATTGAAAGACAATACCATACAATATTTCGTCCTAATATTTCTGTTTTAGGGCGAAACAACCTATCGCGAAACAACCTAGGGCGAACAGAATTTCGGGCGAAACAACCTGGAACCCATTTTCATGTCAAATTGGCCAAAGTTTATTAGATTATTTAAAGCCAGAATAAAATCAATATAGTTTATCAAAGTTTTGATATCAAATTTCTTAGTAATTATGAATTATCATTCTTTTGCTGCTTATTATGGTCTTATCTTGAAATTATTACCAAGCTTAAAAAGGGAGATAATTTTGTGGCTTTTTTTCCTTGTTTATCAAATATGACCTATTTCTGATCATGGTTAAAAATGGTTCACAAAAGTAAGACACTTATATATTGGGTTAAGTTAAGTCAATTTTTAATGTTACATTTTAAAAGAAAACTTTGAAAGCTCATTGCCTTATAGCTTATTTTCTTTGAAAAATATTGGGCTATGCAATCGATAGGAATCCATGGAACTCACATGTTCCTATTAAGAAAAAAATAACAAAATCTTTCAATTATAAGTAATGTTATTTTTCACTGCAGTAAGTTACACTTGTATATAAATTTCATTCCAGAATAATTTCTTAAAACATACCAAAAGATATAAATAGGATGTCACATGTACGCTCTACCAATTGAGCTACGTACATACCTGTTCAGTTCCACTACATCCCTCCCTCCTTTTTCTAATTGAGCTACGTACATACCTGTTCAGTTCCACTACATCCTTCCCTCCTTTTTCTAAATCTTCGACCCCGAAGACACAACTATTTACAACAAAAGTTCGGGTATATATATATATCCCCTTGAAATTGCCAAGCATACACCAAATGCTTGAAACAAGGGTTGATCACAGGCACCACTGTAACAAGAGGAAAAGGTGCACGGCCAGACCGGGGTTCCAACCCGGGAATCTCTGAACCCTAGCTAGACGGACGCTATATCAATTGAGCTACCTGGTCGCCCACGATCAACCCAGTCCATTTCTGCTACAACACTTTAAATTGCCAGTTTGTTATTTATTAGGTCCCATGTATTTTGTTGTTTACCGGGGTATATTGGAATTTCTCATACAGTGGGAGCATAATCTAATCTAGGATTTATAGGTTATTACTTTACATGTATGCAGTGTGAGTTCACATTCTGGGCATGGTGGGGCCAGACCTGACATGTGATCAGTGTTCTAGTAGGTTTTGGTAATTTGTTGTACATAACGTTAACATTACAATGGGATGCTTTGCTCCTGTAGGGCCCAGATGAAGACACAGAAGAAGAGTCTGACTTGACACCTGCAGAGATGAAGGAACAGTATGAGAGACAGAAGCGAGAAGCAGAGATACTACGCCAAGCAGAGATAGCTGCAGAGGAACAGAAACTAGAAGAAATGAAAAGAATTGAAGCAGCTAGAGGATGCTCTTGGGGAATTGGTAATGTTTTTATATACAGTGTATACATTGTATTATATGTATCTTGAGTGATCCATATTCTTCATTCTTGTAAACCCTTTGAGGTGGTGGTTTGTTGATCGTTTGTCACCTCTCAACTATTGGATTAAACTACATTTCTCCCAAACTAAAGGGCAGAATTCAATGGAAGTTTGGAGCATGCATCCTTAGAGCATGAGAATTATAAATACAAATTAAAGGGGCTGAATCTACTGGCAGTTTTCAACCAAACTGTAGTGATAGCATGCTTTAGCCCATAGGGATACAAAGGTATACAAATAATTGAGCAGACTCTTTAAATTGGGGGCTAATGATCATTAGGGGTCAGTTAAAAGGTGTAAAATTGGCCGATTTGCTGTTAATTGCTTCGTCTTTCAAACTACTTGGTAGATTTAAACCAAATTATATTTGTGTCGTGTTTAGCCCCTGGGGATAGATAAATTTAAATTATACAGATAAGAGGCTGACTCCTTGGGGCTGAGGGCAGGATCAAAAGAGGCAGAAGAATGCAAAGATTTGATTTGAACAACATCTCTTCCCAAACAACTAGCCAGGTTTAACTAAAATATATAGTCGTAATATCCTTACCCCAGGGGATCAAAAGTTCTATAAATAAAGGTGGCTAACATTTATGGGGTCATTCTCAAATAACTAGACAGATTTCAACCTCATTTTCAAAATAGTAAGAAATTCAAGGCCCTGGGGCCTCTTTTTCAGAATATATCTTCATTACTTCTTGCAGTTCATAACACATACAATTTGTCTATCCATTCAACCATCATTTATGGACAAATGATTTCATCAATTCAGCCAAGACTCATTTTCCAAAACGATTTTCAACATGATAATGATCAGATTATACATGCGTAACAGGTGATGATGCTGCGGAGGAAGATGAGGAGGAAGACAAAGGAGAAAGTGCAATGCAACAGGCCCTGAATGTCCTTACTCCAGAAAGTGAAGCTCTCTACATTAACGATCCAAAGAAAGCTCTAAAAGGATACTTCGACCGAGAAGGTAAACGATCTTTGTGTAATAATTATCTGTACATATGTACCAGCATAGTTTTAAAGTGACTAAAACATATAATTATGGCTAGAAGTTGTATAGATATAACATATTAATTGTTTGTATTCACTCAACTTTACAGAGTAATATTTGTAGAAGTGTAAACAACATCCTTTGAAAATGTCTAGAACACTAAATGTAGTTTTCTACCTGTAACTTTGTATACAGGTGACAACAACTAGCTATATAATACTAACAAGGTCAGACTCTATCATTCTTTAAATCTTCAATAAATCATGAAAAGGAAAAAAAAATTCTAGTAAGGGAATGTAATCAAGTCTGTGCATCATAAACCATGTAGAATACAATTTTGTATTTCAATATTCTATGAAAAGTCTAGTATTAGATTTATATTGGATTTACAGTGGTTTTTAATTGGGTTAACTTTGGGTTAACACCAGGCTTACATAGGTTTACATTAGGTCTTCTTAGTGTTAATACCACTATTAAGTTTACTTCAGATTTACATAGGGTTCACATGGAGTTATAGGTTTTAAGTAGGGTTTATATTGGATTTACAATGGGTTTACATTGGTTTTACAGGTTGTGAAGAGCCTGAATATGAAGTAGTGGATGCTGGACGGGGAAAATACAAGTGTACAGTGGAGTAAGTGACATGGAACTAACACGCATACAGTGAAACCTGTCAAATATGACATCTGAGTATTCCAACATCCTGTCTATTCCTATATATTTCTGTAATCACATTTTAATGAAGACTACCTAATATCACCTGTTTATTAAGTCATACTGTCTAATCAGACCAATATGTTGTGTCCCAGAGTATAAGGTTAGGTACTGTATAGGTCTGCATGTTAGATGTGGAACAGGGATTTAAACCTGTGTATTAGAATGTATACATGTAAGCCATGGGGAGAATGTTTGTTGGGAACAAGTATATATAAGTCGAGTAACAAGAAGATATTTGTTTGTCATTTTGGAACCAGGATCAACTTCTGTTTGTAAGTTGTGAAAAGAAGTGTGTACAACAGGCGTATCCTGTATACCTTGACACAATATCTGCATGGAATATGTTGTAATTTGTTAATTACTGGATGAGGACAAGCCTATTCTGTATGTACATGTATGATAACTTTGCCGTATGAAGGTTGTGGAATAATGACTGACATTTATTTATTAATGTCATTAGAAACTATTCCATGTGACCTCAGGTTGCCAGTGGACACAGCATCAGGAGAGCCTATGGTTGCTGAGGCAGTTGTGTCGGGTAAGAAGAGGGATGCTGTGGTGCAATGTGCATTGGAGGCCTGCAGAATCCTGGACAAGCAGGGACTGCTTAGGGCGTCTAAACACGGTAAGCTGGATATCCTCTTAGTGATACCACATGTTCTGGAGAAGCCTTATTTTTTGAAAACATGTTCTACCAGGACTTATTAGTTTTTGGTATCACGATAAAATTTATTGTAATTAATATTGATATGGTTATACATTGTACCAGGTAGTCTTATCATGATACATATTGTGATATGTTGTTTAAAATGTTTTCCTAGCTTTTATTATCCTGATGTAAATGATATTATGATAAATGCTTGTATTGTATATTTAATTAATAAATTATATAGATATTAATCTGTGACAGTTTATTTAACTTAACAAAATTATGTTTTCTTAAATTTCTTACAGACATTTAATCTGTAAAATAACAAAACGACCCTGATTATAAAGTAAAGCCTATTTGCTTCGACAATTTCTAGATAGTTGGTCTCAGTGTAGTGCTAACAAGATCTCGTGGACAAAAGTGGACAGAATGAAATCTCATAAAGTCCATGTTCTGTTGCTTGACTTGGAATGTTAAAAATGTTTGCAGATACAATACTTTTGCAAAAACGTTTAAGGTATCTTCTTTAATAAAATTCAAACTACATGAATATGAAACAAATGTTTGGTTTCAGATATCACATCACTATATACATTGTATTTGTTCCTGATGTTAGATTCATTTACATCACAGAAAGTAGAAAGAAGAAAAAGAAGAATTGGGCTGATGATGACTTCTATGATAGTGACGAGGATATATATCTCGACCGGACAGGAGATATAGAGAAGAAACGGAAACAGAGAATGGACAAGGCAGGCAAGAGTGGAGAAGCAGCACAGACTTACAACACACTGGTATGTAGCAGCACGTGCACTCTCCTGGCCAATTCTGTACAACTGGAAATGGCAGTTATGCTAGATTTTCATTATCTAATACTATAAACCTTTGAATTTAAAGAACATATGTATGTAGGCTTTCTAATGCTGTCAGTGTTGCCATTAGCCAGTGTAATTTTATTTTGTGAATCATTCTTGGCTGTGTTGTTTTATGTCTTAAACTTCTAGATACTTATCTGATACATAATTCACTTATATTGAATTTCATCAAGTACTAGTGTTATGTTATCAGACAAATATCAACAAATTCATGTACAGTTAGATATCTTAATAGTTCATGGAAAGAAAGTAAAAATGGTCAATCTATTCTGTGTTAAAAAGAATTTGGTGTTTTATGTTTTTGAATATGAAAATGATCGAGTGTAAAATAAATCTGATAAAAGTGTACATGGATAGATTGTTACAACATGCAATTCCAGTGTATGATTTCATTTTCTAAATATTTTTGTATTTTGTCTTAATAATTTCCTTAAAACATGTTAATAATATATCAAAAGGTTTGTTTTAGATGTGTAATTAAATATTGTATGATGTACTTATATTTAGTAGTGTATTTACAGATGGAAAAACATCAAAACATCCTTCTAGAAATAAAAGAAATAGAGGCAAAACTGGAAAAGGCAAAAGCAGGTAAAGTGTCGTCCTGTCCACTCAACAAAGGCAACATAGAACCAAACACTAAAAATGGATAAACAAGTTAAAGGGACATAGAAGTATACATGATGTAGAAAAAAAAAATAAACAGGATAGATAAAGTGAAGGTTTCAAATGTTGTAATTTGTGCAGCAAATCAATTTTATTTTATTTCTTAAATGTCTACTTTAAAGCAAAAATGCACAGGAAGAAGCACCTGCTTGTTTAGAAGCCCCGACAGTATACGTAGTTACCTCACACAGGAAGAAGCACCTGCTTGTTTAGAAGCCCCGACAGTATACGTAGTTACCTCACACAGGAAGAAGCACCTGCTTGTTTAGAAGCCCCGACAGTATACGTAGTTACCTCACACAGGAAGAAGCACCTGCTTGTTTAGAAGCCCCGACAGTATACATAGTTACCTCACACAGGAAGAAGCACCTGCTTGTTTAGAAGCCCCGACAGTATACATAGTTACCTCATACAGGAAGAAGCACCTGCTTGTTTAGAAGCCCCGACAGTATACGTAGTTACCTCACACAGGAAGAAGCACCTGCTTGTTTAGAAGCCCCGACAGTATACGTAGTTACCTCACACAGGAAGAAGCACCTGCTTGTTTAGAAGCCCCGACAGTATACGTAGTTACCTCACACAGGAAGAAGCACCTGCTTGTTTAGAAGCCCCGACAGTATACGTAGTTACCTCACACAGGAAGAAGCACCTGCTTGTTTAGAAGCCCCGACAGTATACGTAGTTACCTCACACAGGAAGAAGCACCTGCTTGTTTAGAAGCCCCGACAGTATACGTAGTTACCTCACACAGGAAGAAGCACCTGCTTGTTTAGAAGCCCCGACAGTATACGTAGTTACCTCACACAGGAAGAAGCACCTGCTTGTTTAGAAGCCCCGACAGTATACGTAGTTACCTCACACAGGAAGAAGCACCTGCTTGTTTAGAAGCCCCGACAGTATACGTAGTTACCTCACACAGGAAGAAGCACCTGCTTGTTTAGAAGCCCCGACAGTATACGTAGTTACCTCACACAGGAAGAAGCACCTGCTTGTTTAGAAGCCCCGACAGTATACGTAGTTACCTCACACAGGAAGAAGCACCTGCTTGTTTAGAAGCCCCGACAGTATACGTAGTTACCTCACACAGGAAGAAGCACCTGCTTGTTTAGAAGCCCCGACAGTATACGTAGTTACCTCACACAGGAAGAAGCACCTGCTTGTTTAGAAGCCCCGACAGTATACGTAGTTACCTCACACAGGAAGAAGCACCTGCTTGTTTAGAAGCCCCGACAGTATACGTAGTTACCTCACACAGGAAGAAGCACCTGCTTGTTTAGAAGCCCCGACAGTATACGTAGTTACCTCACACAGGAAGAAGCACCTGCTTGTTTAGAAGCCCCGACAGTATACGTAGTTACCTCACACAGGAAGAAGCACCTGCTTGTTTAGAAGCCCCGACAGTATACGTAGTTACCTCACACAGGAAGAAGCACCTGCTTGTTTAGAAGCCCCGACAGTATACGTAGTTACCTCACACAGGAAGAAGCACCTGCTTGTTTAGAAGCCCCGACAGTATACGTAGTTACCTCACACAGGAAGAAGCACCTGCTTGTTTAGAAGCCCCGACAGTATACGTAGTTACCTCACACAGGAAGAAGCACCTGCTTGTTTAGAAGCCCCGACAGTATACGTAGTTACCTCACACAGGAAGAAGCACCTGCTTGTTTAGAAGCCCCGACAGTATACGTAGTTACCTCACACAGGAAGAAGCACCTGCTTGTTTAGAAGCCCCGACAGTATACGTAGTTACCTCACACAGGAAGAAGCACCTGCTTGTTTAGAAGCCCCGACAGTATACGTAGTTACCTCACACAGGAAGAAGCACCTGCTTGTTTAGAAGCCCCGACAGTATACGTAGTTACCTCACACAGGAAGAAGCACCTGCTTGTTTAGAAGCCCCGACAGTATACGTAGTTACCTCACACAGGAAGAAGCACCTGCTTGTTTAGAAGCCCCGACAGTATACGTAGTTACCTCACACAGGAAGAAGCACCTGCTTGTTTAGAAGCCCCGACAGTATACATAGTTACCTCACACAGGAAGAAGCACCTGCTTCTTTAGAAGCCCCGACAGTATACGTAGTTACCTCATACTATCATGCAGTGAGATACTGCAGTTCTGTTTTCTTTAATGAACCTGTTATGGATTCCTGAGTATTGACTGTCCTGCTGCATTTAAGCTCAAGAGAAACCTTTTCCAGTAGTTTCCTTTCAAAATATTGTTGCACGGCATAGGACTGCTTTGTTCACATTGAACAAAAACAGTAACAGGAAATAGTTTCTCATTCTCTTCATGTTGCATGGTATACATATAGTGGTACAAGATGGACTATGTGTAATCCTGATTTCAGTAATGTAGAAAAACTCTCTCCTTAGGGGGTTATAACAAAAGTCTTGTTCCATTGATCTGAAAAATAAGTTGTTCCTTACAGATGCAGCTGCAGCGGCAAATGAGGGTGAGGTGGATGCCCTCGATGCATACATGTCTGCCATAAAAGCCGGAATGATGGACACGAAGACCAAGATGAAGATGAAACGTCGTCTTATGGAGCTGAAACAGGAGGAACAGAAAACACGTAAACTTGTCAACATCGCTAAACCGGCCGCGTTACCTGAGCTGAAAAGGTAACGCACAGGACCTAATTGAAATGATGTTTTTAAGGGCTATTCCAGGAATAGGTAGACAGGGTGTGGGTTTGTGGGAGTGGGGCAGGGAGTCACTTATGTGTGATCCCAATCCCATTAAGTAAAACAAGGTATAGCTTGAGAAATTTTGTTGAGATCACCAGCATGCTGTTCACTAGAGAGGTGGGGTACACAGTAATACTACGAAGTTTGTCATAACAGACAAAGTTACCAATATGTTATAATGTCTCTCAGTAATGAAATTTAGATTTGTATTGGACTAATTTAAAGGGTAGTTTTACTTCTCAATAGTGATATTTTTCAAAATTACAAATAAAATTGTTAAATGCATGATTCTTTTTAACTGTTTTTCGTTTGATTTTTGATAGACCAGATCCCTCTACGATCAAGAAAGCTGATGTGAAAGGACTTCCTGCTTTTGGGAAATTAAAAAGTTTACAAAAAGCCACTAAAAAGCCTACAGCACCTGTGGTAAGTTAAAATTTGATAATCCCAGAGAAACAATGATTTAGAATAATACATTTTAATTTAAAGATACTTTCACCTCAAATTTATTCTGGACATCAATTCTACTTACAGGTAAAGAATGGAACTTAATTACTGAAAATGATAAATTACTTGCTTTATTACCTCCTTACACAGAACATTCCTTTGAGTTTTGACAACAACAAAATGACAGAGGTGGAAGAGGAAGAAGAAGAGGAGGAGGAGGAGGAGGAGGAAGAAAATATTAGTCAAAAAGATAAATCTGATGTGAAAACCCCAGTCTCTGTTGGTAAACGAGAAATCAGTGCTGCAAAACCTGTGATAAAGACTGCCACTAAGTCAAGTGAGTTAAAGGAGTCACCCAGACCCCCTGTGTCAAACCCCACACAGCACAGGGCTGTGTTCCCTGATGAGGTACCAGAGAGTGCTGGAGGCTCAGTGTGTGAAAGTGTACTCACTCAGAAAGGGGATAAAGTAGAAACTGTAGATGTTATCAGTGAATTTTCACAAGTGACAGAAGAAGAAGAGAAAGTTGATCAGCAGGCAGTACAAACGAAGAGACAACGCAAGGCAGAAACAACAGATGTAAGCATATATCTATACTTATTTCCTGGTATCTCATTTCAAAGCGGTTTGATTGACCAATAGGTGAAGAGCATTTGACTGCATAACTTTAGATTATATTGTATGGATTATGACAAAAATTCTTTTGTTTCTTAAAAAAGGTAGAATCATTTTCATTGTAGAGAAATGAGAAATAAATTTCATGGATTCATCATGTGTGTTTATATCTATGCTAGGTTCAACAAAAACAAATATCTTACATATTTTACTTACCTTACATGTGAGTGCACATACTTCCTTTTATACTAAATTGATGTTAAGTGATATTGTTTTATTTCATGCTATCCAAATTTTCATTTAATCATTAATACTCACTGAACACTCTTTTCAAATCTTAAACTTTAAAGGTAGGGTCAAGAGGTTGCTGGTGGCAACTATTACCTTATTGGAGTCCTATAGAAGCATAAACTGGCCTTTGCATTTACCTACAGAATTTAAATAACTTTGATAGGTATGTTTAATGTGTTGATGAACAGTTACTTAAATTATGTTGTTTTACATTTAGAAAAAAAGTAAGAAGAGAAAACCTGACCCTGATTTGACAGCAACAACATATGACAGCACAGACCCAGACTATGCTGTGTGGATGCCACCATCAAGTATGTACCTTACCTCTACATTAACAGTACAGTAGCACCTTGTTATACTGCCACAACTTGGCCAGAGAAACAATGGCATTATAAAGAGATTTGGCAGTAAATTCACTAATTATGGGGAAAATACACAAGATTTTTTATGGAAAAAAAACAATAAGGGACTTTGAAATTTGTTAGCAAAGTGGCAACTAAAATAAGGGGCATTGGTTGGCAGTAAGCAAGGTGGCAAATAAAACGAGGGGCATTTGATATTTTGAGGTTTTATTGTAATTGTTACACCTAGCAAGGTGTATTTTTTTTGTATTTAATTTTGAAGAGAGCTGACCATTAATGTATATATCTATGTGTATATTTAGTCACAATACATCACAAAAAAAAATCATGAGAAGTCAAGATTATTTATACTGTAAAGCATATATAATTATCATGTTGAAATTAACTATGGTAAAGTTATGTTTATATTAAGTTAGATTAATCGTCTAGATTTTGTTTATAATAATTTGCTTTAGTTATTATATGATTAACTAGGTTTAGTGACTATTGGGATCCTGTCCCTGTGATATCTGATCATTTGTATATTGATGATTTTATATTTTCTTTGTAGACCAATCAGGAGATGGCAAAACACATCTCAATGACAGGTTTGGGTATTGAAGCAGTCCAGATTTTGACAAAATATCTCAACCACAATAATGGTTATTGAGGCAGAATTGACAACACCAACAAAGTTTCCCCATTGACCTGTATAGAAACAGTGGTGCTGGTACATTTGTGAAAACCCTGGGTAATAATTAACCAGGGTGTTGAAGCAATTGTGATTACCTGGGTGTGATTGAAGCTGTCGTAATGACCCGGGTATTGACTGGTATCATGTTATGGCATGATATGATGGTATCAAAGTCATGCAGTGTATAATAACAATATCGACTTTTATACAAAGTAACATGGACATGAATTAACCAGGGAGACAGATTCTGTAGGTGTATATAATTGAAGATAATTTTACAAAAGCAATGTATTTTGTATTCACCGTTAAAGCCGATTGTGAAAAAAATGATGTCTACACATTTGAAGGTATGTAATAAAATTTATCACTAATTTTGTTACATGTACATAAAGTACATAGCTTTAAAATGGGATATTTAATGCAATTCTAAATTTGAGTAGATAAGTATATTGTGTGATGCCAATTAGGACGATGGATTAATCTCCCGACTTCACACAATTTTTCAAGTGACCCTCAATCATTAAAATCATTTGATGAGAATATGTATGGTGTTGTGTTGTTGATTCAATTCTGATAAAGGAAATGATCCTGATCAAGTAGTTTGATTTTTTTGGTGTATAAAGCAAAAATAGCCACTAAATTGTAACATAAAATTTCCTATTTTTGATGCAAGTCAGAATTTCACATATACAAATAGGAAAATGGAATATTGACATAAAATGAAAAATAGATATAAAAATATGTACAATGGTGTGAAAATTAGACAAGAATTGTATAAAGAAAAGATAACAGATGTTTTGATGGCCCTTTTACCACACCTAGCACAAAGTCAACTTTTTTTTAATGACTTCTTAAGAACTCAAGTTCTAGAGCTATGATATTTGGCCAGTAGGTACATTGTACCTGGGACAGAGTGCTATAAACTGTCCTCAAATAAATTACCTTGACCTACTTTCAAGGTCACAGGTGTCAAATGTGTAAAACCTTTAAGCAACTTCTTCTGAATAACCAGGAGGCCAAGAGTATTAATACTTGGCAAGTAGGTACCTGGCATGAAGTGCTATAAACTTTCCTAAAATAAATGACCATGACCTACATTAAAGAACACCAAGCTAAAATCTTTAAACATATTTAGAATAACCAGGAGGCCAAGAGTACTGATACTTAGCCAGTTGGTACCTTGATCAGAGAGAGTGATTTAAACTTTCCTCATATATATAACCTTGACCTACTTTCGAGGTAACAAGGGTAAAAACGTGTTAAACACTTTTAAACATCTTTTGAATAACCAAGAGGCCTATAGCAATGATATTTGGCCAGTAGGTACCTAGGACAGAGTGATATAAAGTGTTCCTAAATAAATGACCTTGACCTACGTTCAAGGTCACAGGGGTCAAATATGTAAACATGTTTAAACAACCTCTTCAGAATAACCAGGAGGCCCGGGGTAATGATAACTTGGCCAGTAGGTACCTGGGACATTACCTTGCACAAAGTGCTTGTAAGTTTCCTCAAATAAATGACTGACCTACTTTCACGATCACAGGTCACAGGGGTCAAATATGTAAATATCTTTAAACAACTTTTTCGGCATTACAAGGAGGTCCTGGGTGATGATATATGTTATAAAGTTTCATTTAGTCTGGAACATTCTTAAGCAAAGGAGACTCAAATATATGGAAATATTTGCATAAGTACTTTTAATGAAAATATTTTCCCATGATTGCTCAAATATCCAGGAGAGCGATACAGGCCCTCTGTGCCTCTTGTTTTATAACGATAAGGCCAAATGAAAACTTTTAGTGAAGATGATAAATGTTTTGTTACTTTTAACTAACTGACAAAATATTTTTGTAAAAAAACAACAACAACTATTTATAACAATATTTGATATATTAGTTTCTTGTTCAAATGGTTTTGATTATACCCCATAGAACATTCCCTGGAGATTAACAAGCATCAAATTATTTAACCTATGTTGCATTATGTAATTTAAGCCCTTCCTGATATATTGGGTCATATTGTTCTAGTTAATCTTAACAAAGTGTATTTAAAGTTATTTTTTTCTTTATGATTAACATTTGAACATATATTTGAAAACAAAAAAAAATTGTTACTGCTTGTATTTTTAAAAACAATTAAAAAGCATCCTCTACCATAATCAGGTAGCCCCTCAGAAACACTGTGTGTTCAATTCATCATATATATTTAAAAGTTATATTGGCAACGTACATTATGTATTATTTGCACTGAACAATCGGAAATCTAGAGGCCAAAAAAACCCTATCTTTTATTATCGGTGGGTTGCAACCTAGACCATAGAGTCAAGGGAGGTAACTCCTACAGGAAGTAGTTATATTTTTCATTGTATTAATACGCGTGTATTTTATGATTGATATCTTTTAACTTTTGTCATTGCTGACATACGTTTTCCTTGTTCATGAATCATTGATTTAAATTGAATAAACATTTAAGTCCCTTTCAAATTATTATGTTTTGTGTAGTTCAATAAATACCCGAACTATTTAGTATGGTTGCTACGATAGCGTAACAATCTTAAACAGTGTGTTGTTTGGCACACGTTGTGATCGGTTTGTGATGGATGCTTCTATATTGTGTAAATAAACTAGAGATCGACTGCATATACGGTACATAAATTAAACAACATGGCAGACGACCCAGAGCAACAACCAGATAACATAGCAGAAGAAGAGGAAGAAAATCAAGAAAAAGAGGAAAATGGTGTCGATGGTCAAAAAGAAATCCCAGAAGTTACCGTTACTGAAGAGCTGACGGAAGATGCTGAAGCGTTGAAGAATGAGCTCAACAAAATCATCGTGCATCCTCCAACAATAGATTTTTCGTAAGTATATATTTTTGGGAACTGTTGTTTTGAAATATATTTTTCCAATAGATTCTTATTAACTGATTAAGATTGCAAAGTGAGTGATACCTGACACAGCTGCTCTGTTAGTGATCAATGAGTCACATTTGATCTGTATTGTATCCACTGTACTGGTGTGGGACATCTATCCGCGAAAATGTCCAAATCTGATGTCAGGGCCAGAGAAACATGAGCTACTGTACTGTATAAGGTTAAACTGCAGTAAAAAGGAAAAGAAAAATGCATTGCCAGACTGGGATTCGAACCAGTGACCCTCCTAACTCTAGACAGATGCTCAACCACTTGAGCTGCCTGGGCGAACAACCCAATCCAGGTCTCCTACATTAATTCCTCCATCCTTCCTTCCTTAAATTTTCTAAATCTTTCCATTGCTACCAAAGACATCTCTATTTACAACCTAGATCCATGGCCAGTACTTAAAACAAGAGTTGGTGATACACTGTAAAAGGAGAAGAAAAATACACTGTCGGACCAGTATTTGAACCCAGAACCCTGCATAATATGGCCTCCTTTATCTAAATGGATGCTCAAAACCAATTGTGCGACCTGGTAGGTGGTACATGGTACCTAGCCCAGGTCCGCTATACACTGCTTATCCCAAATATTGTTAAGATTGCAGTCGATGAGAGAGGGTGAGAATCTTAATGCCTTAACCACACTCACATTTCATAAGTGAGTAGTTAAGATGAGTCCAGTCTAAATGAGTTCTGTTAAATATTGTTCTGTCCTACATATCATGGTACAGTGAATCCTCTGCTGTAGCATAGGTAATTAGTTTACCAATAACATTTTGCTGTCTCTTGTTTCAATGTTCCTCCAGTTTTCTCACTGACAAGCATTAACGAGGTGGTTATGGCTGGTAACAAATTAACCGCTCTAACAACTTTTTAATAGTACATATATGTCAGTCTGAAGTTATGACGACTATCCTCAAGTGATGGTAGTGCTAATTAAGGATTTGGAATTAGATGATACTTACTGGATGATGTTTCATCTAGGGTATAGAAGTGTTTACTTTTTTTTCAGAATTACTGCTCATATAATTGGCATTGAATTTCATGTACATTTTTTGTAGCATGATTTTGACAATTTTTCATTTGTTAGAGATCTTGTTGGAGAGTTATAAGATTGTGTTAGCTAGGTTTTTATTTCTTGATACAGTCTGACAGTCATCTGCAAATTAGCAAGGTTGTGTTAGCTAGGTTTTTATTCCTTGATACAGTCTGACAGTCATCTGTAAATTAGCAAGGTTGTGCTAGCTAGGTTTTTATTCCTTGTTACAGTCTGACAGTCATCTGCAAATTAGCAAGGTTGTGTTAGCTAGGTTTTTATTCCTTGATACAGTCTGACAGTCATCTGCAAATTAGCAAGGTTGTGATTTGAAGCAGTCAGTCAAATCATTAATATGGTACAAAAACAGGATTGGGACAAGGACTGTACCTTGTAGAATGCCAGAATCAACTCTTATTTGGTTGGTGATCTATCCATTGAATATGAATTCATTAATTGTCCTAGCAGTGAGGAACTGTGTTGGCCATGCATGAGCATGGAACCATGTATTCCAGATGTTGTCTGTTTATGTAACAGCTTTTTGTAAGGTACCATGTCAAGGGCCTAAAATTGCACAGTCAGCTAGACTAATATTTTTGTCAAATACTTGGAGCAGATCCTCCATGGTGATAGTGAGTTAATAAGGTTTCACAGGAATTCACCCATCCCTAAAGGTTTAGGGTAGCATGTATGTTGATGCATTCTTAATGTTTCATGACGGATTGGCATATAATGCTATATGAAACTCTGGAAGTCAATGTACCAGGGGTACATGCGGCCTGGGTAAGCTGAAATACTAACTGCAGATATTTCTAATTGCAGCAATCAATCATTAATGTCTTGTGTGCCTCTGGGAGCAATGGCTGTATTGATGTCATATGTTTTGGATTTGTTTATCCGTAATTCTCTGTTTTACTGATATTCTGTTTCAGAATACCAATGAAAGAGTTTGACCAAACAGAGTTTCCTGCCTCATACAAAGAAAATTTGCCAAAAGAGAATCTGATTTTACAATATGCAGAGAATTTCCGGAGACAATACGTGCATTTGTACAGGGACAGGAAGCCATTGTTACTCAACCCTGTCAATGAATGTGGAACAGAGGTAATACCAAGTTTAACATGAATATTTTTTTTATCAGCAATGTGTATCAGATCTGAGCTGATGCCATAGAATCTTTCAAAATAACTGCAAAATAGAAAACAAATTATGACATGACAAATTAAATACTAAATGCTTTCTAGGTGTTATGCTCTTTGACTGTAAAAGGTTTTAATCAATGAAAAGAAAATAATTGACATTGTATGATTAATTTCTGTTTAGAAATTTGTGTGTACCACAATAAGACCCACACAACTGGAATTCAAGGAGCTGTATAACTGGGAAGGGGCTGCTGAGTTTGTTGCAGATTATCTCAACTTTGAGACCTTGGAGCCACAAACTGAACTGGTAGGAGTTTTATTATCATCAACAATGGACACCTTACTAGTTTTCTTTAATACTTATTTTCATTTTGAAAATAAGACATAACACCTTAAAGATTACAGAAAGGACAGATTAAAGGTATGAGAAAATGAGTGGGTGGTATATCATTGAAACATCCTGCCAGCAGATCATGTAGTTTCATCCCCAAATGAAGCAAAACTAGTGATAAAGCCAGTGTTATTAGGATTTTAAAGCTGACGTGAATAGACTTTTCCATTGACAGAGCAGCACCACAGGTCAAAGCAGAAGTTCTTGATTCAGAGACCTGAGGCCTGCATCCAGGAATCATTTATGTAATTTTCATCATTTCTCTGGACTAGTAATCAAGCCGATGAATATTAATACTATTGTAGCCTCGGAGACTGCTGTCCCCAACTACCATCCTGAAGCGTCAGAGAGGAAACTGTTTTGACTACAGTACATTACTGTGCTCCCTGCTGATAGGGGTGGGGTATGATGCCCTGGTGGTCAATGGTTATGCAACACGTGAAACTTGTCTGGCTGATGAGTCACGGGAAATCTGTCCTTTAATGAAGAAAAAGGAGGAGGTACAGTAAAACTTCAATAAGTATATATGGGCTTTGCTAAATGTAATTGATATTCAAATGATATTTTTGACTTGTTTCATTTTATTTGAAATATGTCCTAAAATGTTTTGAGTACCCTATTTAACATGGGTCTTCACTCTTTTGTGCAATCAAATTGCCTTTGACATTCTACAGTGCTTGTACCGGCTTTATAAAAACTGTTGTCAGAAGGTTTATGTTTGCATATGTATTTGATCAGGATAACATATATACCACTGTGGATACTCATTGAAATGAATGATCAAAAACTGGAGATGATAGTTTATATAGATTGTGCCCTGTCTGCTTTGTGAAATTGAAATATCGGTATTTCTTTCAACCCTACAGGTGAAGCAAGAGGTTCAGAAGAAAGAACAGAAGAAGTATGCAGTAAAGGCTCCTAAAGATTTACGCAGCAAGTTTGAACTCAAACAAGAATCAAAATCAAAAGCTGTAAAAGAGGCAGAGGAAGAGCAACGGAAAAAAGAAGCGGAGGAGAAACAAGCAGTAAGTTTGCTGGGAGGTGTGATTAATAATAATGTAACTTGTACAGTATATTTGGATCATTGTACGAAAAATACTGGTTGCTGTTTCTGTTATGAGTGATGAGAGAACTAATGCCCAGTGCATTACAAATAACCATCAAAGAGGATAAGTCCATACTATTCCATTTAGAACTTGAACATGAATGACATTACAGTCCGAAATACTAAACATTGAAAAGTTTGGGTTGTTTAATTTGAACGATTTCAAAAGTACATATTTTGGCTTTCAACAGCACTAATGTTAATTATGACATGTTAACATAATTAACAAAGCTTAGCATGTAAATAATGTGTGGCTGAACATATATCACAGAATGACATAGTAATAGTTACACAATAGGACACCTGTTCTAGTAGATGTGTTGTTGATTTGATGAGCTGTTCATGTTTGTGTTGTAGGAGCTAGAAAAGCCCCCTCCAGATCCGCTATATGGTCTACGTGTACATGCCTGGGTACTTGTGTTGGCCGGGCGTAGGGAAGTCCCGGAGAGCTTCTTCATTGAGCCCTTTACTGGTTTGTCCCATCCTGTGGACAGTCAGAGTTACCTTGGAATTGAATCGGTATGGAATGCCTCCAACTTCTGGGTCAACATGCAGGACTGCTCCGACGGGGTCAAGGTGGGTCAATGTGCTGGACTTAAAACACTTTTTATGGCATGTACATTCAACTGACAATGGAATAGAGTTAGGTTTACTATTTACAAATTACCTGTGAACTACTGTAATGTTTCCATTGTAAAAACTGGGTGAAATTACTGCAGAAGACTGTTCAAATCCTATATGAAAATATTTAATAAAACGTTTTGTGAATCCCAGCTAATAAACAGTGCTTAATTTGGCCCCATTGGTCTTCATTATAAGACCTGTTTTACTCTTTAAACTTTGAAGTTACATTAAAACACACCTATACATGATGAAGCATACTGATATATAAATATTTAAATGTAATGTTCATGTTTTGTTAACATACTTCGATAATAGATAGTTGTGTGACAAAAAGTAGATTTAAGTTCAGAAACAAGTACAGTATTGCCTATATTAACCTGTTCCCTGCACCATTTGACCTTCAGGGTCTCAGCTATGACCTTGGAGACTGCACTAGGTGGGAGTACATGTTTCCTATCACGGAGAAGCCCCTGCTGAAGATCCCCGATGTGGATGATGATATCGGTGACCTGGATGACGATGAGGTAAGCGACGATACAGATGGTGGTCGAGGTTTTGATGTGAAGATGACAGGTTGGATGTTGTTGCGTAACTTGTCTAACATATTTGAGGTTTATTTATGACGAATCAGGGATGATATCAGATACACTGACATTCCTGCTAAAGTTACACGCCTATTTGTCTATATGTTTCTAACTCAATTCCTCGGGAGAAATATTACACTTATCCCTTAATCATCAAGTAGTGATATCGGTTAATGTTGTTTGGAGTGTTGAAGTCTTGATCTCATTTTCATTTGAAATGAAATCATTGCTGTGTAAATGTATATATCGTTGACTTATCCTTGACTTATCATTGACTTATCGTTGACTTATCATTGACTTATCATGACTTATCTAGGCATGTCAATTGTCAGCAGGGGTCGCTCCAAGGTAGATAACTCTTATACTTCCGTAATGTTAGAAAACGCCATGATACTTTCGCTGGTAATGCTGTATATGGTACCTTGGTTTATTTAACAAAATGTTTGGTAATAATTGAATGACAGCTACTCAGTTGGTTGGGGAACTCATTATCGTGGTATTATGCACTGTTCACACGAATGCTGACAAAGTAACACTTCTTTAAAGTATAAAAAATAACGTACTTTTCATCCCAATCATGATGGCATTGCCCCAAGACGACCGTATTTTTATTTTTCATAATTTTATTCGAGTAGTTAGCTTCCCTTAGTTGATTTCAACTGGTGCATTAGAGATCGTAGATAATTTACAGGTCGTTTATAATGTGATTTGTTCGTGCATGTTGATGCATATTTTTTTCCCCTCTGCCACAACTTCAGTTTGTGTATGAGTTGCCTCCCCTGTGCTATAGTTGTTTTCCACAAAAACAAAACGATGTAGGGTTAGTAAATGTCTATATATTGAACAAATTTGAAATACATTTCGTCCTTGTTTATTACCGATAGGGAGAACAGTCCTTTAATTTTTTAAGGTAATTTCTTGTTAGTGACTGTTTAACATTTTAAAATTAAGATTTAATATGCCTGATATAAAAACTTACCCTTCTTTCTATGGTAATGTGGAGATTTCAGAAATAAACTATACTTTACTTTAGGATGACAATATTGTTAGGGTTGTCTCTCTTGTTGTGATTTTACTTCAGGTACTAGATATTGATTGCTTCCCTTGAGTGTGAGTTTACAGTTGACCTCAGAAAGTATGAATTATTAATAGCATTCAATTGTGCAGGAACCAGTAAAAACCTGGCTTACTGTTCAATTAATTGACCCATGAAGTATTTAAAAAATAACTTTTCATTGGCGAAAGAATTACTTTATATTTTTAGTTGACCCTGCTAACTTATCATTGACTTATCATTGATTTATCATTGACTTATCGTTGACTTATCATTGACTTATCGTTGACTTATCGTTGACTTATCGTTGACTTATCATTGACTTATCGTTGACTTATCATTGACTTAGTTAACTATTGTAGATGCTATGCTGAGCTGTATTAAGTGTTGTAATGTTTATTGATATACTTATTAATAGTCGTATAGTCTCATACTACCTATAAACATGTAAAGTAGGGTTTTTTTGCAGAAAGAACTTTCTTTATCTTTTTTTTTTTAATTTTGTTTGTGCATGTTGCAACTATAGTGTGTGGATAACCAGATCCATGATTCAATATGTAATGCATGAAAGTGTCAACTTTTCAGAATGGCAGTGAGAGGTTGAATGCACTGCACCGTGACAACACACAGATCACCTTCTCCGAGGTTCTTTTTATCACATAAACTGTGTACATTATAATTATATCTACTCATCATTGGCACAGTGATTAGGAGAGTAGGAGTAAGAGGGTAGGGGGAGGGGGACTCTTCCTCGTCACAATATCAAAGTCTGTTTCTCTGTGTCTGGCTCTATATATGCCAGTAGTTTTATGTTTCTGGTCCTAATTGGTCCAGTTACTCCATACTGGTTCTTGTTGTATAAATACCTGCAGTTTCATGTTTGTAGTTCAAAAGAGTCAAGTAGTTTAATGTATCTAGTCCTCTAGTCCTATGGATACAAGTTTTCCATGTTTTTTGTTCTGTAGATACAAGTTGTTAAATGTTCTGGTTCTACAGCAATGATGCAGGTTTCTGCTCCTGTCCATACAAGTTGTCCTCGTTTCTGGTCCTGTCCATACAAGTTGTCCTCGTTTCTGCTCCTGTCCATACAAGTTGTCCTCGTTTCTGGTCCTCAAATGATCTTTTAGAATCTATACACATGTAGTGGTGGTATGGTAGTCTCAAGGATTTCAATATTGTTTTTGACTGTGAAGAAAAGTTAAAAGAAACAACACATTTTGTATCACATTGAGATTTTATTCGACGGTGACCTTGATGATCAGGCCGTCAGTAATGCATTGTTGGTATTGGATGATTAAATGGCTAAATTTATGTGTGTATGTCACAACAATAGGGATAAGTTGTTAGTAGGCTTATTGTATCTCCTCAAGGTTATATCTGTCTCATTACAAACTTGACAAGATTCATTGATTATCTGGTGGGATGTAACTATTGTAGTACTTACTTTGATATTGTGAAGATGGGAAGAGTAGATAAATATCTAGTCCGACACTTTTTATGATCTTTTCACCTCCGCAAACATGTATCAACAAATACATTGACATCATAATTGGGTCAAAATTAGAAGGTACAAAGTATCAATTTGAACCCTTCCGAATCACTGTTTTAATAAAGGCGCCTATAAAGACAGTGTTGTGTTGTGTTAAATGGCATTTCAAAAGGCGTTTTCTAACATTGGACAAAAATGTATCATCATTATCCAGCAGAGTGATTTGCTTAATTATTATAGTGTGGTATCGCCATATTGTAAAGTTGTGACAGATAAATGGCGGACGGTGTTGTGTGTTGTGCTGTTTTGGTAAATTCATATGTATACAAGCTATTTCAGATTAACAAGTGGTAAACATGTTCTCTTTGCATGCACTTATAGTAACCCTGCTATTGGCCTTGAGCACACTTCAGGAATAATGGTATTTTTAGAGAAACATATTTAAAACGTTAACATTTTATTTAAGGCAAATCTTTAAGAATGCTCATATATTGAGTTTATTCTTTTATAAAGAATTGCTTTATACAGATTCAATTGATATGTATGCTTGCATGAAATTCCTGACAATATGTCTGGATGTGCTGAATTGAAATGATAATTCACAAAGCAGCAGTAACTATCGACTGGTATTGGGAGTGACGGCTTATATGCTGACTGATTGCTTGTGCTTTCTCAATTTGCTGTCAGATAATTACAGACCTAGGTATTCAGTGAAGGTTTTTGAACTGATAAAGCAAATATGTCTCACACATGACGGTGTATTCCCACATGTCAGTTCATAAATACAATATTTACCTTTAAAAAATATTTTTAATTTATATTCCCTAATTGCATGTTGTAACACTGGTGATAACTTATAATACACTAGCTGGTATTTAGTTTGAAATTGGTTTAATTATTTCTGTCTGTTTTACACACTACCAATGGTTCTGGGATGTTTATTGCGTGGGGTATAAAAGGTTGATGCAAATGTTGAAAGAGTACATAAACACTTCATCAAATAAAATCATGAGTACCTGCTTACAATTTTTTATGGTCAAGGTTAAGTTCATTAGAGGATTCCTGTGTACTTTATCTACTGTGTCAGAGACTTTAAGTTTCATATTCATACTCTGACAAAACATAACTCAATCTTTTATTTTCCTTTTCCATGTTTAGAATCAACATCTGCACTTTAGCAAATTATTCATGATGTCTTGTTCATTTGTTGATGTTATTTACTCATGCATTTCCTTACTGAGATGTCAATGAACAAACCTGTATATATATTCTAGGAGTTCAAACTAATATCTGATGCATTATGTTTCACAGGAGGAGGAGAATGAGATGGACAAACACCTGGACATGCCGCCATCCTGGGTGGAGCCAATCAAACTCTCCTTACGGGGTGGGTATTCTTATGTCGCACTAGAATATGGTGTTGAAATTTGTATTGTATGCAATAATGGCTGTTGTCTATGATGTGATGATAAATGTCCTTTGCTAACTGGTTTGTGACTTCCAGACTTCCAGATGAGGTGTCCGCAAGGAAAGAAGACCAAGCTGTATAAACGTGCCAAGCTGGAGAAGTTTGCCCACTACCTGATGAAGGATGGCCTGGTCTCCAAACTATCCATGTATGATAACCGTGAATGTAGGTGGTCTTTCCTTGTGTTCAGACTGTGATTATAGGCAGTAGAGACTTCAATCCTTACAGGAATGCCATGTACGTTGGTGCCAGAGACTATCTCTAAGCTGACCCAAAAATACATAGACAAAAATAATGTAATATAGGTCACTGCCAAATATTAATATCTATATCCCTAACATTGGAGTAGAATCACCCTCCATAATGCATCTCCTTTACTACACTACAAACTAACATTACGAAATAGTAGGTTTTAGAAAGGGTTTAAAGATATAAAACTGAAAACCAGTACCTATTACCCGTCAAAACATTTGTTTTGTAAAATGCTGGTGTTATTTTTGCAAAATATTTGGCCCAGAAACAGCACTTATACCAAAACCTAGTAGACAAATAATTGATTGTCTCTAAAACAGATATTTCTGCATGGAAAGCTTAAAAAGTGTGCTTTTGGCTTATATCAGAACTTATGACCAGATATATATATTTTGTGGAAGCTAAAACTTGATGGAGGTTATATTTAACAGGGATCTATGTTTGTATACATTTTGGAGAGCAACTGAGTGCTCCCTAATAGTTTAAAAAAAGGGTTTTCACAATTTTGTATCCACTTTTGATAGCAAATCGGATTGATCTACTTGTAATGTTATAACTTTGAAAAAATTGTCCAATCAATTTCTTTATTAAATCTATAAGGTATTTTTATATGAAATAAGTAACATATTACAAACTGTGGTGTATGGTCAGTGAAGTAACATATTACAAACTGGTGTATGGTCAGTGTAGTCACATATTAAAAACTGTGGTGTATGGTCAGTGAAGTAACATATTACAAACTGTGGTGTATGGTCAGTGAAGTAACATATTACACACTGGTGTATGGTCAGTGTAGTCACATATTAAAAACAGTGGTGTATGGTCAGTGAAGTAACATATTACAAACTGTGGTGTATGGTCATTGTAGTAACGTATTACAAACTGTGGTGTATGGTCAGTGTAGTAACATATTACAAACCTTGGTGTATGGTCAGTGTAGTAACATATTACAAACTGTGGTTTATGGTCAGTGTAGTAACATATAACAAACTGTGGTGTATGGTCATTGTAGTAACATATTACAAACTTTGGTGTATGGTTAGTGTAGTAACATATTACAAACCTTGGTGTATAGTCAGTGTAGTAACATATTACGAACTGTGGTGTATGGTCAGTGAAGTAACATATTACAAACTGTAGTATATGGTCAGTGTAGTAACATATCACAAACTGTGGTGTATGGTCAGGGTAGAAACATATTACAAACTGAGGTGTATGTTTCAGTGACAGACCTGATCATGATACGAGAGTACTTTGCTTACCGTATAGACAAGCTGTGTACCAAAGTCCACAACCAGAGAACTGGCTGGAACACGGAGTATTTTGACCCTGGACGACTCAAGTGTCTCAAAGGTGACACAGCATTCATTTTAATTTGGATTCAAATATTTTTTGTACCAGTTATCATTATTTATCTTGAGTAGGTATACTTCATGTGTTTTCAATATTATTTTTTTTAAACATTTTTCCATCTGATAGCCAATGCAAGATAACACAGTAAATGGAAAATGTAACACCTGACATTTGCTATACCTCCCTAAATAGAATATATCTCTGAGCATCAGTTCTTATGTTGTACTGGCTTTTGTTATATACTGACCAACCAGTATGTCTCTGCATATAGAGCACCAGTTCAAGGCAAGCAGCCCAGGGCCGGAGAATGACAGAATCATGCTGTTTTACGATGACGCGAGAGTGGATGGACTGTTGAAGCGAGTTGAGAGTCTGTCTGAGATGACCGAAGAGTACAGACACAGGGATGACTACCTGTACTTCAAACAAGTAGAGTTTGGGAAACGGACAAAGAAGTTTGGTCCACAGGATGGAACTGGTGCCAACAACATGCGACCCATTGTGGTAGGGCTCCACTTTAAGTTCCTGGCTACAAATGCATCTATATTCTGTTCATTTCTTTGATAAGCACTTTAAAACATGGTGTATATATAGCACATTGAAAAGATGATGGTGTAACACAAAGGTTTTACCTTTATTTTCTACGTAATGTAAAAAAACTATAATAACTTCAAAAGATGTGTTTGTAAAATAACATTGGATACAGTTGTATGTGTTATTTTATGTTTGTGTAACAGTTATATTTTCAATGCGATGATGACCATCATTTTACATTGTTTTTGAAACATTCATTAAATTGGTTGTGAATGTTTGGGGTTGCAGAAGATGATTCAGAAGTTTGACAGAAACCCTAAAAAGTCAGCTAGTGAGGACATTTCTGAATTGGTGTTTCTGGTGTCAGAGGACAAGATCCAGCTAACATACCACACAGAGGACCCACGGATAGCCTCCTCCACGCGCGAGTACCTCAAACCTGCAAACTGGGATGAGAAAGGTGCTACCCTAACATTCAACTCGGAGATGCATCAAACTTTCCAGGTATGGCATAATTACTCTGCTAACTGTCTTTTTATTTAAACAAAATTTTACTTTTCTAATAGAAATTTCAGCTCAGTGTTGAGCGAGAATTGTTCTTTTTGACTATCATAACAATTTTCTGTGAGAAAGTGAAAAGTATCATCTTGTAAAAGTTGTCTTTCTTTACCCATTGCTATAAAGAACCAAAATACAGTCATGATATTTTACCTGTATTTGACCTGTTTCAAGTGTCAAAATGATTTTCTGATCGAAAATCTACAGAATTACGATATATATATGTTCTTTGTCTGTCTGGACAGGTGGACCCTACTTCACCAATGAACAAGAATGTAGAACTGTACGAGATGCTGCTGGAACTGCTCAAGGCAGAAGAGAAATGTCGTAATGATGTCCGAGATTCTGAGGAGGAGGTACAATCTGTTTTCTGGTTTCCTTATGTTACATCTTGTTTATTTAACTTATAGTTTTAAACAACTTTCATTTTTAGTATAAATTATTGAATTCATCATATGTCTCATAATGAATCTAGTTTAAAATTTGATGTTAAAAAGACAACTCAAATATAATCTAGATCTTGTTACAGGTTCGTGAGGTACTAAATGAGAGAACTAAAGAGGAGACTGCATCAGAGCTGGACATTTCTGTGTATGACACTGACAGGAATGAGAAGGCAAAGAAACATAGGAGAGAACTGGTAAGTCCTAGCTGATGTCTCATTCATCCCTCCTTCCTCAATTTGCTAGCAACCTCCATGTCCAACAACCAACCTTCATTCCCCATTAGTACACTACCAACCTCAGCTTCACTCTTCACTATCAACCTCCATTCCCCACTACCAACCTCACCTCCACTACCCACTACCAACATCCACTTCCTCACTACTCCATTCCCCACAACCAACATCCAATCCCCACAACCAACCTCCATTCCCCAAAACCAACCTCAACTCCCCACTACCAACCTCCAACCTCCACTCTCCACTACCAACCTCCACTCCCCACTACCAACATCCAACCTCCACTCCCCACTACCAACCTCCATTCCCCACTACCAACCTCACCTCCACTACCCACTACCAACATCCACTTCTTCACTACTCCATTCCCCACAGCCAACATCCAATCCCCACAACCAACCTCCATTCCCCAAAACCAACCTCCACTCCCCACTACCAACCTCCAACCTCCACTCCCCACTACCAACCTCCACTCCCCACTACCAACCTCCACTCTCCACTACCAACCTCCACTCACTACCAACCTCCAACCTCCACTCCCCACTACCAACATCCAACCTCCACTCCCCACTACCAACCTCCATTCCCCACTACCAACCTCACCTCCACTACCCACTACCAACATCCACTTCTTCACTACTCCATTCCCCACAGCCAACATCCAATCCCCACAACCAACCTCCATTCCCCAAAACCAACCTCCACTCCCCACTACCAACCTCCAACCTCCACTCCCCCCTACCAACCTCCACTCCCCACTACTAACCTCCACTCCCTACTACCAACCTCCACTCCCCACTACCAACATCCACTCCCCACTACCAACCTCCACTCCCTACTACCAACCTCCACTCCCCACTACCAACCTCCACTCCCCACTACTAACCTCCACTCCCTACTACCAACCTCCAATCCCCACTACCAACTTCCACTCACACTACCCCTTCACTCCCCACTACCAACCTCCAAACCTCCACTCCCCACTATCATCCTCCCCTACACTAGCTACTTATCTCTTATCTAAGTATTAAATTACTGTCCTACTTGTCAACCCTGTGCCTTTAACCAACCTTACTACCATTGCATTTTGAAACTGAAATCTATCTGCTGCTATATGAAAGATATAAACAACTGTGGATTTGTTTTCTGAGCTCAACAGAACCATGAGGTTTGTGGAACGTTGTTTGATATTTATTGCTGCAGTTAAACTGGCATTGAATTTACAGTGATGCAACCCTGCACTGTTGGAAACTATAGAAACATGTTAAATTGAAATTGGATTTCTCAAACAGAATCAGAAATTGACAGCAGTAGTCAGAATTTTACAAAACGTGAAAATGTTGGATAACAAAGAAGCCATGATGTAGCGGTTAGATTCTCACAAATCTCTCCGTACAGCAAGTACAATGGCAGATCTCTCCTGATTAGTCCCGACGAATCATGCACCACTTCCATATTGTTTTGCTGAAGGCGGTGATATTTTTCATTGAATGTTTTCTTCAATTAGTGTTTGTTATGTGCGGGTACTTCTCCAGGTTTCCTCTAATTATAAAAGTTAAGATGTGGGATGTCATTGTCAAGGCTGCTTAGCCAATCAAAAACATTATTTACAGATGGTGATGCTAACTTTGTTAGTGTGTATGAAATGTGTTGTTGACTGAAGCCTGCATTCCCATCAATCATGTCCCCTCCACTTGACCTTTTTATTGTTGTATGGTCATTGAAGTAATGGTCATACCTAAATGTATAAAGGTTCTGTATCATACTGACTTCAGTAACCTTGTACATGTATCGTAATTAGATGTCAATTAGATTGGTCTTGCTCATAGAACATAGATTCCAGTGATCTTGATAATAGGACATTCAACATAAAGACAATTAGTTTGATTTATGATCAAAGACCACAAAGACATACCAGTAAGTGACCGTTACATAAGATATGACATCATATGTAGTCATGGAGATTGGTCCTGGGAACATAATGTAAATTTATATAATAATTAAGTATTCAATGTCACTGGAATCTGTAATCAGGGTCACTAGTATCTTTGTTTAAAGATCTAGCTCACTGGTATCTTTGTTTTAAGATTGAGGTCACTGGTACCTTTTTTAGCTCACCTGGTCCGAAGGACCATGGTGAGCTTATGCGTCTGTCGTCCGTCTGTCGTCCGTCATCCGTCCGTCCGTCCGTCAACTTTTCCTTTAAAATGCTACTAGTCATAAACGACTGAGCAGATTTTAACCAAATTTTGTCAGAAGCATCATTGGGGAAAGGGGAACAAATTTTGTAAAATGGTGGGTCTGGCCCCCCTGGGGGCTGAGGGGAGGGGCCCAATAGGGGAAACATAGCAAATTATTCTTTAAAATCCTTCTTCTTCTGTAGGAATGAAAGGATTTGGTCCATATTTGGTGATGAGCATCCTTGGGTAAAGGGGAAACAGTTTTGGATAAACGATGGGTCTGGCCCCCCTGGGGGCTGAGGGGCGGTGCCTAATAGGGGAAATATAGCAAATTTTCTTCAAAATCCTTCTTCTGTAGGAATGAAAGGATTTGGTCCATATTTGGTGTGGAGCATCCTTGGGAAAGGGGAACCAATTTTGTATAAATGGTGGGTGTGGCCCCCCTGGGACATGATGAGGGGGGGGGGGGCAATAGGGGAAATAGAGGTAAAACCTTTATAATCCTTCTTCTACGATAGGGATTAAAGGATATTATCCTAATTTAGTCTGGAGCTACCTTGGGCAAAAGGGACCTAATTTCGTATAAATAGCGAGTGTGCCCCCCCACACCCTTGGGGCAGAAGGGAGGGGCCCAATAGGGGAAATATAGCAAATTCTTCAATGGCAGGATTTTGTCAAAATTTGGTATTAAGCACCCTTGGGTGAAGGGGAACCAATTTTGTACAAACAGTGTGTCTGACCCCCCTAGAGGCAGAGAGGCGGGGCCCAATAGGGGAAATAGAGGTAAAACCTTCAAAATCTTTCTTCTACCATAGGGATTAAGGGATTGTATCCTAATTTAGTCTGGAGCATCCTTGGGTCAAGGGGGCTCAATTTTGTATAAATGGTGGGTATGACCCCCTTAGGGCATAGGGGTGGGGCTCTGTTTGAAGTTTGTTCTTGCTATATCTCAATACTTGATGGATCTTTCTGAAATTTCATATGTACTTACAGCACCTACCATGGAGTGCTATATCCTTACTTCATACCAATTAATTTAAACATATATTCAGGTGAGCGATACAGGCCCTCTGGGCCTCTTGTTTTAAGGTTAAGATCACTGGATTCTTTGTTCTATGATCAAAGTCACTGAAATCTGTGTTCTGTGATAAAGGTCACAGGTAGCTTTGTTCGAAGATCAAGAATAGTATCTTTGTTCTAATATCAAGGTCACAAGTATATCTTTGTTGAAAGATGGAGGTCACTGGTATTTTTTTTTGAAGATCAAGGTAATTTGAATTTTTTTTCTAAGACCAAGGTCACAAGTTTCTTTGTTCTCAGATCATACAGATTCCTGCATTATTGTTTAAATGCATGTTGGAGAAGGTTTTGTGTTAATTTATTTTTTATTTTAATTGGAAAACATGTTAAGTATATAGTTTTCGTTATATATGCTCCAAATATTGTTTATGGTGAATTGTTTGTCCAAGCGTCCAGGATTAATAGGTTAAATGTGTTGCAAGGATTTTTCTAGAAACTCTGATTCATTTTTAGCTCACCTGCCCGAAGGGCAAGTGAGCTTACATATGCCATGACGCGTCTGTTGTCCGTCAACTTTTTCTGAAAATCGCTACCAGTCATAAACGACAGAGCAGATTTTGACCAAATTTGGCTTCAGTGAAGGGGTACCAATTTTGTATAAACCGTGGGTCAGGCCCCTGAGGTGCCTGAGGGGCGGGGCCCAATAGGGGAAATATAGCAAATTCTTTAAAATCCTTCTCCTTCTGTAGGAATGAAAAGATTTGTTCCATATTTGGCCTGAAGTATCCTTGGGTAAAGGGGAACCAATTTTGTATAAACCGTAAATCCCTTGGTAGTGGAGATTAAAAATTGTACAAATGGTTGGGCTGACCCCCCAGGGGGCTGAGGGGTGGGGCCAAAAGGGGACAATTTGGCTATATTGCTATAAACGACATCTGTAGAATTATGCCATGGATATTGATCATATTTGGTCAGAAGCATTCATGGGAGGCAGGGATTCAAAATTGTACAAATGATGGGGCTGACAACCCCGCCCCACCCCCCGGCCAAAAAAAGTTTATTACTTTGAAATGGTTGAGATCCCCACGGTATAACCATATCACACAATTGTGGAGTATAAAGAGAAGAATGCACATTTGCTTCCAGTATGGCCCTGGGGTTTGGCCCTACCCTTTGGGTCATAACTGTAACTGCTGAGATCCCCACCCAAGAACTATATATACAAATGCTTCGCATAAAGAGACAAAAGTAGTCACGGTATTAGAATAGACCCTGGGGTCTGACTGAACCCCTAGGGACCTAGTTTCTTAGTCACAGCTTGGAAACCGTTGAGATCCCCACCCCATAACCATACATTAAATTGCTGGGCATGAACAATCTAATACAGACATGCTACAAGGATTGGCCTTGGGGTCTGGCATAGTCACTTGGAATTCATTTGGAGAATATTTTGCCATGATTGCTTAGATATCCAGGTGAGCGATACAGGCCCTCTGGGTCTCGTGTTTAAAAGAATGAAAAAAACAAGTGATGGATGTGCCTTCTTTAAATCTTTTATTTCATTAATCAATAGATAATTATCTGGGGTACGTAATTCATTATGTTTAAGATGTCCTATAAGGATCCATTACGCATTTCTAGAATTATATGAAAAGAACCATCCTGACATGATATTTAGCATTTTTCAGTAATTTTATGAGATTTTGTAATTGATTACATTCAGAAAAAATTGATAAGAACATCCTTCTTTGAAAATGA